CACGTGTACTTTAGGCTCACGCACGTGTCATACAAACTCACCTGTACCTGTAACAGCCTGCTGTGTTTTTCTACCTGTGTTTAACACGGCTGATGACGGACATGCTCCTGTTTTCTTTCCCCAGTGAATACAGTGTTCCTCTAGAGAGTGTCTCAGAAACCCAGCTGACTCTGTGCAGCCCAGAAAGAGAGCTGCTGCCTCTGGTTTTATCCCACTGCCACTACACCTTGAAGAAAGGCGGGGAGACGGACAGAAACTACGACCTGCTGGGCATCCAGACCCAGCTGGCCCGCCGCTTCCTGGCCGGGAAACCGCTCATCCAAGCGGTAAAAATAAATAAGAATCTAAACCAGTCACACGATTGAAACCAAACATTCTGCTAACCAGCACTGCTGTCCTCTCTGATCACGATCAGGACACCTCGAGGTACTTGAACAGACACCTGCAGGACTTCTCTGTGGTTCTTAATGAGGTCCGGGACAAGATCCATCAGGTGAGACCAGTTCTATTTTAAGATACCTGAGTCTATCTGGAATTGACTTTTAGGCTACGTTAAGACTGCTGGCAAAACCGATTTGTTTCTCAAATCCTATGCTAGTAGCATGTATTCTGATCAGTACTTCCACAAATCTGATTTGAGCAGATGTTTTTTTTATTGCTGTCCAGTCTTTCTAAAGATCAATCTGGATGGACTCCAGCCTGTTTTCATCGTGTGATTAGTTGTTTCTGTTAAGAGTACTTTCACACAGAACGCTAACATTGCGCTGCTGCTAAAAAGTTTGTTTTAGCTTTCGCACCGCAGATAAAAGAATCAACCAATCACGTTGCGAGGAACGGACATATTCAAAATGTACATTAAAGTGTAGACTAGTCCGACCCAAGAAGGCAAACTTTATTACTCCTTTCAATCTTGACAAAGGCAGCTAGATCCACTCTTTCCCTTCTTACCTTTCACAATAAAGGTACTAGACATATACACTGTAACTCTTCACCAGAGGGAACTCAAATTAACTCAGAGCCTTTCACTAAAAGGAAACTCAATAAAATATCTTTCTCTTGAAGCTACACAACAGTTTGCTCGTCAGGCGCTGCTCTACGTCAACAGGATCCTGGATGTTGGCCCTCTGCCTGTGAATCTATTCAAAACTTTTACCGAAAAAGTGTTTCAACCGTCTCAAATTCCCCTCGCTGCCGGTATGAATAGATGTGATGCATTATCTAGCATCTTCGTGTCGTTTATTCTCCACGCCCCCTCGGTGTGTGAAGGCCTTAAGAATGTTCACAGTAGTTCCCTCTGTGGGATTCTGTGAGGCCGCTTTGTTAGAAGTCAGATTCCTTCCCTTCGCTCTCCTCTCGCTGGCCTGCTGACAGTTTCCCGTCCGTCCTACAGGAACCGCTGAAGGGTTCGGTGAGCAGCGCCATGAGGACGGTGCTGCGCTCGTACACGGAGGTCTGTGGTGCCGTGTATGTGGTGAAGATCGGCCTTCGCTTTCTCGGAAAGACGGGCGGAGATCCGAGAGGTCAACTGCTGTCCTACCTCGCTGATTCGCTGCAGATGGAAACACAGATTTCCAGCACTGTAGCCAAGGTAGAAACCTCCAGACCCACAGCTATGACTGACAACACTGCTATGTGAAGAACGGGGTTATGTTGACATCGTTTAGTAAGCAGTGCTTCTCTACAGGGTTGTTTTTCTTTCTATAAAACACACATTTAAATACTATTTCTTTGACTCTAATGTGTGGAAATAAATGAAATAAAAATCAAATCTCACAGCCCGCTCTAGTGCTCTGATGCTATTAAAACAGGTAGTATTCAGGTCCATAAGTTTACATTGTACTTTAAATCATAACTTACGTTTTTATTTTTGGGAAAATGTACCATGCAATGATAATGTACCAGTGCCGATGTTCACTGTGATGATTACACAAGTCAAGCAAGTTTCACTAGTTTTCATACAGAAACAAATAGAAACAAAGGGATACAAACAAAAAATTACAATAAATAACCCCTGAAGAGCAGTGAGTGAGGAGCTAAAACTCTAAACAAACTGGTATGTTTCTGAAATATTAAAACTTGTCTGTTTGATTTTCATTTCAGGGTCTGGGGGAGAGCAGACTTGAACACAGCGTATTCACCTGGCAGCTCCTGACTTCTTGGAAATCTGAGCTCATGCTGAACAGAAATCAAGTAAGTAAAATATGTAACATACGGTGGCGGATCAAGAGAAGTATTTATTACGTGGTGGCAGAAATATATCCATTTATATACATACGCTGATTTAATCGCAAACATTCACATCTATCAATATTTGTGTGGAAAAGCCCCCAAATGAATATACTTTATTTTAGAACATGTCATTTTTGTGGTACATGAATTGAGCATTGTATAGAAAAGAGGGCCTTAGAAATCAATCAATCGTTATATTTCCAACTATTTTAGACATTTTAAATAAGCCAATCACTAAGCCTAAACAACGGCTAAACTGTGCATACGCCAAGCCCCCTTTTAAGAATTTTAAACGCAAACATCCATGAAAGAAACTCCTCCCGTAGTGACCACAGCATTTATTTTTTAGACTTCATCTTCAGTCGTGACCTGCGCTGGCTGCCAGTGGCTGACCCTAAACACCAGGGAGAGTTAAATGTTCTGGGCTGTAATCCTTTGAAAGTGTGCCGTCTGACATGGCCGGCGCCCCCAGATCTGACCCCAATAAAAGCAGAATTTGAGGAATTCAGTCCGCACAGAGGTTTCTGCCACAGAACAGATTACACTTAATTTACGTTCATGTTTCAGGACCCGTTTCGGACGCTTCCCCCCGAGTTCCAGCAGAAGCTGTCTGAGGAAGAGTGGAAGGAGCTGAAGGTTTTCTTCGCCGGCACAGATGTTGACACTTTCTCTTTGGAGCTGCATGAAATTCTGCTGCTGAAGACGAGCAATGCCGTGCCGGAGCAGGGTTACCGCCCACACTGGGAGTAAGCACAAACCATTTGCACTGCCCCCTCCATAGTGAAAACACAACCAAACTGACCATTTGTGAGTTTAGTTTTTGCAGGAAGTAATGCGCCAAATGGTAAAACAATCCTCAAAACATTTGCATTATTTACATCTAATCCCTAGTTTACCCAAGAGGTGTTTATAGGAATGAGAATTTGTTTGAAAGCTCATGAATGTAAGACGTGTGGCTATCGTCAGTTTAAAGATCACCACCCTCGTCTAAAGGAATCCATTGATCCTAGACAGCTTTAATCAGAGCAAAGTGTGGAGGTCTCACCCGGGGCTCTCCCCTGGGATTTGGAGCCTTTCTGACTTCCAGGACCAGAGAGCGTGACCCCTCCAGGCAGCCATCTGTCAGGGGAAAGGAGCTTAAGTTGTATCCCCTCAGCCACAGGTCATTCCTATTGAAGCAGCAGCTGGACAGGGAAGTGAATAGGCATGCGTGTGGTGTAAACAATGGAGGCAGTGCTAACAGTTGTTTTTCTTCATGTCCTCCTCTCCCTGCCGTCTCCAGCATGAGGTCCACCTTAGAGGTCCATTTGGAGCAGAAAAACCTTCCAGTGCTGCTGGGGCTCGAGCTTCTACCAGAGGACATCAGGCTGGGACACGGGGCCGACGTGTGGAGGGCTGCTGTGGAGTTTAAAAGAAGCTAAATTATTTCTACGGACTTATTTCTGATATTGTTGTTATTGTTGTTGGGAGATCTTGTTGTTGGGATATCTGGATATTGAATGTAATTCATTCCATATGATAGGGCATGTTCTGATTAAATCGTTCTGTATATGTTGAGATGTCTGAAAGTGACCAGGGTATAGTGCAAATCAATGCATTTGAAGCAGGCCTATTATATTCCTTATCTTACATGTTGATTCTGTTAATGAGGAGTCTGGGAACAAATAATAAAATCACTATAAATAAATCTGAGTCCTTTTTTTTCTGTTCAAGTCTTTCCCAACTCTCAAAAATGTGATTTTGCCCTCTCACACCTCCCTCTGCAAAGTCAACCAAACCGTTGCTCGAGCCACGCCCCTTGGAATCCACACGTCAGACGGACAGCTCGGCTTAGCCAATCAGATCCACGTACAAAGAGACAATGTTCTATCTCCGCCAATCACAGACGTCGAGAGGCTGCCGTTATGTGCCTCGTTACCACAGAGATGATGTTACGCGTTATTTGGCTCCCACTGAGTCAACGGAGTACTTTCTCTGGGTATCAGGAGGATTGTGTCGGGACCTAAAGCCGTGAAACCGAACACAGAGCGTATCAGCAATGGTGCCATCCAGCTTGTGAAGAAGTAAGTAGTCTGAAAAGCGACAATCGACATTGTTGGGGTCGGTGGGACGGTTGATTGATGACGTTGCATCAGTTTGGAATAATCAGTAACAGTCGATAAGATAACGTTACTAACGTCAAATGTACCGTTATTATTAACGGTATAATGACCGTGTTAGCTTGCTGTACCAGTAGCTATTAGCTTGCATGTAATATTATGATAACTAACGACGACTAGATGTGTTGTTTTGCTCATGCTCGTGCTGCTTCATACGCAGCGATATTTATTATCACACCTCCTGTCACGTGCTTGTGATGGGAAGATGATAACACACACCTGTCGAAGTGGAGCAGCAGGTAATATGTCAGAAAACAAAGTGTTTGTCTCGCACGAGCTCAGGATGCACAACCAGCTGTGCTCCCAACAACACAACAACACAACACTAAACATCTGTGCAATACAAACACACTGCGATACTACAATTACTCTGTCTGTATATATATAATACTGTAGTTATTGTGGATTTCTTTACTTTTTAATATTCTTTACTGTTTTATTACTTATTTACAATGTTTTGATGTGTTTTTTTACTATGTCTCTTGTTTTTTTATCTTATCTTATCTTACACTTTAGCAACACCAGGCTACTGTTAGCCTCATAGCTTTATGTATTTCTATAAGTTAACGTACCTGACGTTAGCGTGGTCCGTAGCTAACGTGATGCACAGTAACGGGTCCTAACAACCTTAGCGTTACCTGCTGTCAGACTGTCCCAGATGTGTTGACTCAGCAGTGAGTGGGTTTGTTGTCGGTTACCCAGGGAGACAAAACAGTCAAGGGGAAAGTGATGTTACTTCCTCTGTTGTTGTGGCAGAAGTGTGTCTTACATTCAAGCCTATCTGACTCTCTTTCAGGTTTTTTTAAAGGATGCATGCAACACGTAGCCCTTCATCCATCCCGACAGCGGCCTCAGGAGATGCCTTGGACCTCAGCTTGGCAGGCTCCCAGCTGTCCATGTCCAGAAGGCCCAGCAGTGCATCACCTGGGAAGTACTTCTCTCGGTCCGTGTCGGTTTCTGTGGCTGGTGACAGCAGAGGAAAACGCAACACCCTGGTGAGTAACCGTCTGCTGCCATATGTGCACTTTTGAGCTGGCGGCAGAACGGAGCTGCTGACTGTTTACGAGTTCTGATCGAATCAAGAAGCAGGAAAGAGCAAACTGTCTCAGAACTCTCCAGGACACCATGATGTGTGTAATGTTTGCAAACAAATCTTCTAAATCCACAGAGTGATGCCAGCTTTGGGAGCTCCCGCTCCATCAAGAACCTCCGGCGGTGCAACAGCACCACGCAGGTTAATCAGCAGGCCAACATCAGTTTAAGGTGCAAACACACACACACATGCACACACACCTGCTGATGTAATAACACTGGAACTATGCATGCTGGTAACACATTGGTATCCCTTCTTATTCCTCTGGGCCAGAACTCTTCCCTTCATTCCTTATCACTGACATTGACACACTAAAGTGCACAGAGCACAGTATGTGCTGATTGTATTCTGCAAAGCCTCAGGCACAACATGTCCTCCTGTTGGATCATCAGATGACCTTTACAGTAACACACATGTTTTTGTAAACGACAGAGAAGAATGTGTGCATTTCAGATAAGGTGCGTCAGACGGTCTTGGAGCGGTGCTGGTGCTCTGAATCCCTGGAGCTCTTGCGCGGAATCTTTGCTCTTTAAACCAGAGAAGTCTCTCTTCAGCGAGCAACAGCTGGCAGCCCTGAAGCTCCAGGACAATGGGAATTGTGGCGCGCCAGCTCCGGCATGATAAAGAGTGGAGGGGAGCTGGGCGGCTGTTGCTAGGGTCGCGGGGTGCAGCGACTTGCTTTGTCCCAGGTTAGAGGGGGGAGGGCCGGGACCTTGGGGTCAAATTACCCCCCCTCCCCAGCAGGAGCCAGTGAAAGGAAAGTGTGTGTGCACGCTCTGCTTCTATTGTCCGGCAGCTGCCGCCATCCCCCCCCCCCCCCCTGCCCCCGAGGATGAAGGGCGGGGGGGCTTTAATTTTAAAACCGTTCTAAGTCCCCCCCACCCCCCCCCCCCCCTCCCCCCCAAGTCTCTGAGTCTTTCAGGGCCATCATTGGGTCACTCGCCACCCCTCTGCCTCTCCACTGCTTCCTCCCCTCCGTGCACCACTCTCTTGAAAAGCAGAAAGTGGAGGAATGTGCTGCCTCAATTGTGTTGTCAGATTGCTTTTCATTGGGCCAGCTGGCTTCACCCCCCTCTGAAGACACACATGCTCACACACATGCTCATTTCTATACTTCTCCAGACACCCTGCACAGCACAGCACAGCACACATAGCGTAGGAGGCCAGGCAAGAGGTCAGCCTACATCTGTGCCTCCTGATGGAGGAGCTGGTGTGTACGGCTATTTGAAGGTCGTCGGGATCAACACATGCATGCACGCATTTGCATGAAATCCATAACGGAGTTCCCCCTCGCAGACGGTCAGCTGCCACATACTGAATTCCAGTACTTGGGGGAGGAGAAGAGCCGGGGATGAGTCCCCTTTCTGCAGCTGTCATTACAACAGTTAATCTTCTGAAAGCCATGACCTGAGGTTCCTGCATTGTGTGCCGTTGTTTAATTGCGTATCGTGTACTGCTAAGCCCTTCTTGTGTGTAAATTGAGCCCATAATGCTTTTTTTACCACTTAAAGGGCGGATTTAAAAAATAAAAAAGTTCTTGGCTCACAGCTACGACGGCCTCTTAAAAATACACTTCACCCTAATTGCACAAATATGTTTTGCCCCACTCTAGTGGTGTCTTCCTATGTAAATAGTTTTGGTTTTATGGGGATAGCAGTGCTAGTATTGTGCAGTATTGTTCTATTGTTCAACCTGTGGCTGACTTGTGTGTGTTCCCCAGTCAGGACCAGAGTCAGGACTACCTGGCCCTGTTCGACAGCAGCTCAGATGGACGCCAGAAACTGGCCAGCCTCAGCAAAGCCTCACCAGACAGAACCACGTGGAACATCCTGGTAGCTGCCTTCAACCACACTCGCATTTCATTTAATATAAAGAGATCCTTTTTGTCCTTTTCCAAGGAAATGTGTTGCTACAGTCTGCACATAAATACATAGGTATATAAATACATTATACATCCAACATAACTACATGAAAGACATCAGATACCTCCACACACATTTGATTTAATAAACATCTTGATCATCATCTGTGCTATATAGCTAAACAACGTAGCTGAAACCAGAATATAAGAGATTTACTAAAGTATTTGTTTCCTCCTTTCCAGACATAAAAACAGATTTGAAGGTTTGTCACTCTCTCAGTAGTTGTAGACGTAACGCGTTTGTTTCCTGTCTCTAAGGACGATCAGCCCAGAACCTTCCCGCTGCACTCGAGCTCCCGCAGCACTGGCAGCGTGGACTCTCCCACCGGCCCGAAGAAAAGAGAGCCTGGCATCGCTCTGGCTGCTACCTTCACTGCCAACAACAGGTGGGCAGCGGCTCTGACACGCGCACACACACACACACACACACACACACACACACACACACACACACCAGGTAGAGCAGGGACCAGCAGGGACCACCGGTGACTACTTGCTCTGCGGCATTCTAGATTTCTAGCTGCTTCTCACATTTCATACCTGCTGATCATGGCAGCTGATACTGCCTTCAGGAATTCCACCCACACACTGAGACGTTTTTCTTTCATAAAAATTTGTAATATGGTAAGAATTTCAAAGCATGTACAGTATCTGTTACTGTAAGGCCTTGGGGGGGGGGGGGTGAAGTGTGAAAAAGTTTCAGTGGCATTCTCATCACACAAACTCCTGGAGAGGGTCACCGTGTCTTTTTGTTCTTCCCAGGAGCAACAAGGGAGCTGTGGGGAACTCGGTCACCACCATCTTACACAACAACTACTCTGAGAAACCACTGACGCCCAAGAGCTCCAACCAGAGGCCGTCCTTTAAGTATGTCCTGGAATGAACATCATTGCTTGCTTTACTCATTTATTATAATCACAATCAGTTGTTATTGTAACATTTCATCATTGGAATTTTATTGAATTGAATTTTCTTTCAGCAACATCCTGAAGGCCACAGCAAACGATGAGGTGTCACAAGACAACAGCTCCCTGACAAAGTCCCAGAAGAATTTCTCCTCAACGTCCTCCACCTCCAACAACAGGTCTCCGGTGTCGGCTCAGCGCGGCAGCCCCGTCCCGTCCCGACGGAGGGAGGTCACCGAGGAGGAGGCCGAGAGGTCAGACCCACTGTTGTGTGTTTACTGTTCTGTTGGCGTTGATGTTCTCCCGTCCATTGTTCCATGACTCATAGCAGCTCCTGTGTGTGTTCTGAAGGTTTATTCAGCAGGTGAACCAGGCAGCGGTCACCATCCAGCGCTGGTACAGACGCCACGCCAAGAGACGGCACACTAACCAGGCGGCGCTCAAACGCATCCTCGCCAGTAAAAGAAAGGTGTCCATCGTCCTCACCTCTTATTCTCCATAGCCTGGACTGGTCTAGTTTCTCTCTTTCTATTCACAGAGTATCAACTGTCACACTATCTCTGTGTTTCCCTTGTAGGAGTGGGAGGAGAGAACAGAAGAGGACAGTCGCCCGGAGCAGCAGCAGAAGAGAGACGAAGACAGGAAACGGATTCGTGAGGAGAAAGCTCGCCAAGCCCGCCTGGCTGCCATCCAGGTACCCAGCTCTCATTTACCTCCAGCTGTTCTAGTGCTGCACGAACATAAAGTTTCACTGATGCAGCAGAGAGGCAGAGACAGAGTCTGACTTTTAATCCTTGTGCCGTGGTCCACAAACACTGGATCCTATTCCACCCATAATACCTCACAGCAGCACTTTCTGTGGATGCTAGAGCTAAGATCTACTTTATTAGCTCACGCACTGGACCCTAACCAAACATTTGAAACAAGCGTCTTTGCGGCTGCTTTCCCTGGAATACGTTGGCTCACAACGTTGTCCTGTGTCTCCCTCTGGTGGTGTGTTACAGGAGCTACAGCAGAAACAAGCTCAGCGGGTTGCAGAGGCTCAGCATGCAGCGGAGGTGGAGCTGGAGAGTCTGAGGCCGACTGGCGCATTCGGACGCAAGAAGCCGCCCAAGATTTCTCTCACCAACAGAAGTCCAGCCTCACCGGGCAACAACAGCCCGATGTCACCCACTGAGGGGAAAGCTAAGAACACCGGTCTGTATGCCGCTGCTTTTTTTGTTTATGATTTCTGGGCATTGAAAAGTCTGTTGTCCTTATAGTTCTCATGGTATATTGTTGTGTGGTATTTAAGGGCACTCGTACTGGTCAGCACAATCATGAATATTATAATAAGTGTATTGATTTGTAATGTGTCTCCACAGAGTCCAATTGGAATGTTACAGCTGACTTAATTGAGCTGAGCTTCAGGGCCATTTCCCCAGCTTTGTCCAATCACAGAGGCTCTCAGTGCTCTCAGGTAAATACCGTCACAGCTTAGCTCTCCACTATAACGCCTCCTCTCTCTTTCTCCTGGTGCATAACGCCTCCCCTCTCTTTCTCCTGATGAATAACGCCTCCTCTCTCTTTCTCCTGGTGCATAACGCCTCCCCTCTCTTTCTCCTGGTGCATAACGCCTCCCCTCTCTTTCTCCTGGTGCATAACGCCTCCCCTCTCTTTCTCCTGGTGTATAACGCCTCCTCTCTCTTTCTCCTGGTGCATAACGCCTCCCCTCTCTTTCTCCTGATGTATAACGCCTCCCCTCTCTTTCTCCTGGTGCATAACGCCTCCTCTCTCTTTCTCCTGGTGCATAACGCCTCCCCTCTCTTTCTCCTGATGTATAACGCCTCCCCTCTCTTTCTCCTGGTGCATAATGCCTCCTCTCTCTTTCTCCTGGTGCATAACGCCTCCTCTCTTTCTCCTGGTGCATAACGCCTCCTCTCTCTTTCTCCTGGTGCATAACGCCTCCTCTGTGTGTTTCCTTTATGGGATCAGGAGGACAGAGCCGAGGCAGAGGTTTGTCTGGTGCAGCAGCAGAACGACAGGAAGTCTCTTCGTAAAGAGAAAGCCCGTCTGGTCCTCCTCGCTACCACGCAGGTGAACACACCTGAGGTACATACTGTGTTCTAGACCCTAATTAATGAAACGATCACACAGAGTTGAGGCTCACAGCTGTTGACTGACTGACGTCTCCCTCTGGTGGTGTGTTACAGGAGCTGCAGCAGAAAAGAGTGCAGCGCTCTGCAGAGCCTCAGCATGAGGTGGAGCTGGAGAGTCTGAGACAAACGGGTGTGGTCGGACGCAGGAAGATTTCTCTCACCAACAAAGGTCCGGCCTCAGCGGGCAACAACAGCCCGACGTCATCCACAGATGTGAAGGCTAAAAACACAGGTGAGCCTTATTGACCACCAATAACATATCCAGTTACGGATGCTAAACAACATGGAAAGTAGATCATGTGAAAGAACCCTGTAATACTGTAGCTGTAGCGGTGTTGGAGTACTCGACTGGATCTCTAGACCACTTATTAAAGTCCCGGTGTCTCCGTGTCAGACAAAGAGGACTCTGCAGCTGATATCACTAAACTGCCTGTGTGTTTAAGTTGGTCTCGCCCTACCTTGGTCTCTGTCTTGGTCTCAACCCCTCAAAGTCTTGGTCTTGTCTCGGCCTCGACACACTCTGGTCCTGGTCTTGACGTGGTCTTGGTTTCAATGTTTCCACAGACTCCAATCTGAACGTTGTGGCTGAGTTCGGTGAGCTCTCCAGCTTCAGAGCAGTTTCCCCAGCTTTGTCTAATTGCAGAGCCTCCCAGTGTTCCCAGGTAAAGAATTAAACACCAGCTGCACTTTATTGATTAAAAACGATTGACCAATAATCGTTCCGTCCGTTATAAGCTTGTTTGTGATCTCCGTGCTGCAGGAGATCCTGCAGAGGTCGGTGAGTGTGGAGGACCAGCGGCAGGGAGCTTTGTCCAGCAGAGCTCCGTCTAAAACCACCCTGAACGATCTGCTGGACACCCTGAAGCTGTTGGAGGAGGAGCCAGAGAGGCTGTCACAGCCCAAGTGCTACAGCAAAGAGAAATACGCCTGGATAGATGAGGTGACACTAATACGAGTATTCATTTCCTAGTTATGTAGCGCTGATCACCAGCCAGAGTGGACTTCTCTGTTCACGACTTTAACCTGCATCTCCACTGTGTCTCGCCTAAAGGACGGAGACTCCAACTCTCTGACCACCGACAACCTGGAGCGTCACGGCCAGCTGAGTCACCATCCCGCGCTGCCAGACGGGGGCGCCCTGCTCTCCGAGGCCAAGCTGCAGAGCATCATGAGCTTCCTGGACGAGATGGAGAAGTCTGAACAGGAGAGACCACGCTCGGTGACTTCGGGGTCGCACAGAGAGGTCAGCGTCTGTCCGCTCTCAGGATACGTTAATCCCGCTGTTGTTGGATTTCCTGATTAATAACAAAAGCGATAAATAAGTTGACACACTTTGACCGCTTGTGCTTGTGACCCTGCGTGTTCTCAGGCCGTGCTGTCGGAGGAGGAGCTGGTTGGTGTTGAGCAGGCGTCCGCCACCGCCGCCGAAGTCTCCGGCTCCATGATGAGAATCAAGCTGGAGCTGGAGGAGAAGAATCGCGCAGTCAACATGCTGCAGACCGCACTGGTGGGGGAAACACACACACATTACTGTACATTTTAACGTGGGATGACGATACCCAGACCTCAGGATTGTTTATCTTGTTTGTCTCCTTCAGGGCCAGCAGAGGGAGCTCACCGTGAGACACGTGAAGGAGACCGAGAAGGAGCTGAGCAGGAGCTTCCAGCTCCAGAGGGAACAATATGAAGCCACCATCCAGAGACACCTCACATTCATCGATCAGGTAGCTGCACGTACACAACCTAACCTGCATCCAGCTCTTCTCACACGTCTTCTCTCGTGGTTTAAGACTATGTTCTGTCTTTCTTCAGCTGATCAACGATAAAAAGCTGTTGACTGAGCGCTGTGAAGGAGTGTTGGGAGAGCTGAAGCAGGTGGACCAAAAGTACACCAAGAAGATTGCACAGATGCAGGAGCAGCATGAGATGGTGAGAAGATGTTCCCTCCAGCTGAACAGCTCGATGGTGATCGAATGTTCCCGCGGAGATTTATGAATTTGCTCGTGCACTTCTAAGTTTTCTTCTTCTGCTTTGCATCTCGCGTCATCGTGTCGCAAGGAGCGCTTTCTTGCAGTGCTGCTTTTGTCTAACTGTCTTTTCTACCACTGTGTTTACCCTCTCCTCCTCCTCTTCCTCTTCTTCTTCTTCACTGTCTTTCTCCGTCCTTTTCTGTATATCTGTTTTGTTCCCTGGCTTTTAGGTGTGGCAAATTCTGGGTCCCTTGTGCGAGGTAACTTATTTTTTCTCCTCTCTCCTGGTCATCATGGCACGATCATCCCTCTCATTCTACCATTCCTTTTTCCTTTCATTTGTCTGTCCCTCACACCTTCTGTTGGACAGTCTGTCTGCATGTGAGTCTTTTCTCATTCATCTCTAGATGTAAATATAGAGCTTATTGGATTTATGCTGTTGGGTTAGATTGAACTCCTCCTATTACCCTTGTGGCTCTTTGATCTTAACATGCATACCCCTTGACTTCGTCACTGTTGTCTTCACCTTGTGAAAGCTGAACAAAGTCCCTCCCGAGCTTTACATGAGAATAATACCCTGCTGCTGATTTATCAGCGCTGCCTCTCTGTGACACCAAACCACCTCCGTCGTTTCCCCTCCTCAGGAAATCAAGAAGTTAAAAGAGCTAATGAGCGCCACGGAGAAGATCCGCCGGGAGAAATGGATCGACGAGAAAACCAAGAAGATCAAAGAGATCACTGTGAAAGGTACTTCAGCCTCAAAGTTCTCTGATTCCAGCTTCTTAAATGTGGATATCTTCTGCTTTCTCTCCTCCTCTGTGAGAGTAAACTAAATGTCTTTGAGACGAGACATTTGACGACGTCTTCTTTGGCTTTGGGAAAAACTAGTCGACATTTTACTCACCAAACTACTAATCGATCAATTGAGAAAATAATTGACAAAGAAAGAAAATCGTTTGCTGTCATGTTGTGTACTTCTAACTTGCTTGGGGGTAACTTCTTATCAAGTACTCTTTTATTCATGCATCCTTTAGCAGCAATCTGACATGACCTCAGCTTCTGTTCAGTACTCGTATTGACTCTCACCATCAACCTCAACGCCGCATGCTGCCTTGCATCTACTATATGTAGTAAACACACTTTGTCCATCATGAATCTATTGTACTGGCTGTTTCCTGGCTCGTGAAGGGCGGCATGAACAAAGAGGAGCAGACACTTACCGAGTTCCTATTTCCTGCCTGAGGATTCATGAGAGTCCATGAGAAGTCCCAGACAGTCGTCAGCCAGAGCTGATGAAGTGTTTGTAGAGTCACCGAGCTCGAGAGCCCTTCTTTGTGTTTCTCTACTCAGTGACTGCTTCGCTGTATTTACTTCTGTTTTCACCAATATTTGGACCAAAATAAACCTGCCTCGAAGTCATCTGACTCATGACTATCCAGAATCATTATTTAAAACAAAACACGAATCATCACATTTTCCTCCCAGCGTGTTTCATCCAGTGAGCCGTAAGCATCTTGCAGGCCCTAGGCTGGATTCTGTTCTTCCACCCCCCCAGGTCTGGAGCCAGAGATCCAGAAGCTGATCTCGAAGCACAAACAGGAGCTGAAGAAGCTGCGGACGCTCCACGAGGCGGAGCTGCTGCAGGGGGACGACCGGGTGGCCCAGCGCTACGTCCGCCAGTGTGAGGAGCTCCGCCAACAGCTGGAGAGGGAGAAGGAGGAGCAGTGTCAGAGAGAGAGGGAGCTAGCCAAACAGAGGTGGGCATGTCACGCCATCAGTACTCATTACAGCCTTCTGTAGAACGTCATCAAACATATGCAGGTGCATGTTGGCCATCCAGACGAGTTAGAAGCTTCAAACATGGAATCCAAACTGTCTCCAACATCAAAATGTCTGGTTGTTGAGTGTTCAGTTGTCAGAATCAATATTCCAACAGCTGACTTAAGTTTTACATGTTGGAATTCTGAATTATGTTAAACGAGTAATCGCGTTAACTGGTGACTCTCAGCCGAGTCCGTGGTGGCTCGGAGTAACTTAACAGTTAGATCAGAGGTATTCAATTAAAGTTCAGCGATGTCCAGTTAGAGAGAATGTCCTCATCCAAAGGTCGATTAATGATTTAGTCCCATGTATAGTGAACAACAGTTGTATTAACGTCTGTATGAGTCAACATCTGACTGTCAAAGCAAGTAAAGAAAGTTCAGTTGAACTGGATTAATTATAAATAATATACTCTAATAATGAATAAATCTTCTCTTATTTCAAGTAACATGTAGGCTGGATAAAAAATACAATACATATCAGTAAGTGTTGGAAGAATGTGACTCTTAAAATAAAGTAGTTCATTTTAGAAAAATTAATGTAGCTGAATTGTCTTTGTGCTGCTTTTCTGATCATTTTGGGCTCTTAGATCGTTTATGGTTTGTACCTTCATGTCAGATGTGAGTGGGTACATTTGCTCAAAAGAGTTGTCTTTGTCTCGTAGTGACGCTTCACATTACTGCTTCTAAACTCACTCCATTGTCTCTGAACATACAGTATGTGACATACTGGTTTTGAACTGCCGACAGGAAGAATGAAGATATACCAGTCTGTCCATTCTTGGTTTAAGACTCTTATCTCCCTGGTCTCTCTGGTCTCTGTCTAGATTTCTCTTCTTAGAGAACATCGTGTGAAATAACTTCTCTGGTGTGTGTGTGTGCGTGCATGTGTGTGTGTGCGTGCATGTGTGTGCGCATGCGTGCGTGCGTGCAAATGTCACTGGAGTTGCAATGTTTATAGGAATACACATATATGATTATACTGTATACATGTATGATATGACGCATGTAATTGGTCTGTGTGTTTCCTGGACCGCTGAACGAGTGGCGTAAAATAGAAGCGCTCTGTTAGAATTAATTATTTATTAACTGTCAATTATCGGTTTTAGGTCCGGGTCCGCATACAACGGCGTTTGGGTCCGGAACCGGACCGCAGTCTGCCTAGTGACCCCTGGCTTAGATAATAAACACAGATGAGTCTGTGTTTAAGATCGACTGAAGGCTTTCACGAGGACACCGTCGTGTTCTGTTGGTGTTTTAAACAGCTTTTGTCACTACGAGTAACCACGGACGCATTGAGTCTCCAGTTAACACGGTCACTGTTTAAACCGAAGCATCGTCTTCGGCTACAAGCTACCGAACGTGTTGACCTCTGAGTCTCTGTCCTGGTGTTTGAAGTACATGAACACAGATAACAGAGTTGATCATCTAGTAAGTTGTAGTTTCATGGACACTATAAACATGCAAGCACACACACATTAACACAGTAGAAGTCAGCTTACAACTGTCCAACCTCACACTCGGCTCTTTGAACTGAAAGAAACAAAGAAAAACTTCAGACAGGAAGCAGGAAGCAGCTTTAAAGTGAACATCTTGCGTACCAAGCAGCCTGCGTGGAGCTTAAAGCCTGAGCGAGATGGCCTTCAGTCTTACCAGTTTATCCAACCTGCTCCTCATGGCTATTTCTGGAAGCGCTGAATTCATGCTGACTGTAACGCAAGAGAAGTGACACACAGAGACAAAGAGAGATTTTAAATTTATATTTCAATTTTGCATCCGTGGTGCACGAGGAGTGATCTGGACCTGGAACAGGCCGGTAGAGTTAGCGAGTTGGTTAAAAGGCAGCGCTCTCATGTTTGTGTGCTCTGCCAGTGAATAATAAGTCCACATCGTTTACCTTCATTTCAGCAGCCTGTGTCTTTCTGCTCATGTGTGTCAGATATGAGAAGCAGCTTCAGGAGGAGGAGCTATCGCTGCAGCAGCAGAGGAGGCGGCTCTACAAGGAGGTGGCTGATGAGAAAGAGAGGCTGGCTCAGCTGGCTGCAAGGTAATGTCAGAGGTCACGTCTTTTTCCACTGTGAAAATCTGAAGTCATGAACCGGAGTTGTTTTTCTTATGAGAGACTTCCACAGAATGTTCCATTAGTTGGTCGTCATTCTCCAGAGCAAGAAGCTGAATCATTAAACTCCTCTGGGTGTTCTGAGTTGTGGTTCCAGTCTAGTCTGGTAGTTTGTTTTAGAAATTTAGTCCCACATGGATGATGCTGACAGCCTGTGATGAACAGAGAACACTGAATGTATCTCGTACATGCAACCTCATTGTTGAGCTCCACAGGAACCGTTTGGTGTTTCCCAAAACCTCCTGAGTGAATCGACTGTATGCTCACGGTCAAGGCTCTTCTTTGTGTTTCTCCGGCAGGCAGCGCAGCGAGCTGGAGGATCTGCGGAGGCAGCTGGAAGAGAACAGCTCTCTGGCTGGGAGGGCCCTCCGAGAAGAGCTAGACAAGACCAGAGAGGAGCAGGAGAGGAGGCACCAGGTGAGGAGTGTGAACTGTGCAGGATAACAGCAGCATCATTAACTAGTAGCTGCACCTCTGCTAACATCCATCACACGAATCTCAGGCAGTTAGCAGGAACCTCATTGAGTGTTGTTTGCGTGACCAGGTGGAGATGAAGGCCTTACAAGAACGTTTGGACATCGAAAAGCAGATGTGGGAGCAAAACTACAAGAAAAAAGAGGTTTGTTCACAGCGAGGTGTAAGAAACTAAACTAAATACCCTGAAAATATGAAGTTTCCTGCAGGAATGCGCTTCCTCCTGAGCTAACACATGAAAATGTGTTCTAGTACATGCAGGTTCACCTGTTAAAACTTCTCTTCACTGCATTACCAGTCATCATGTATCAGTTTTAGAGTTACTGTGAGGAACATTTTACTGGTTGTGAATCAGTCTCTGTTCCAGTAACTTCCTGTTAATAAGTGAAAAATTAACCAACAAGGAAGAAATTCTACATTTAACCCGAGCCAGGGTGTGTAAGCGATTACCTTTTTTTGTGTGTGTGCGTGTGCGTGTGCGCGTGTGTGTGCGTGCGCAGGAAGCGTGGCTGCTGAGCCGCGAGCGCGAGCTCAAAGAAGAACTGCGACGAGGACGCGACAAAGAGATCGAGCTCGCCATCTGGACGCTGGAGGAGGAGACCAGCAAGGACAAGGAGGAGTGTGAGAGGGCAGCTGACAACAGGTGTGTGTGTGTGTGTGTGTGTGTGTGTGTGTGTGTGTGTGTGTGTG